TCCGAGGAGTGGCTGGTGGGTTTGAACCGCCAGCCTTCTGGTTAGCAGTTAATTGCCTTAGGCACTACGCTACCAGAGCTCCCCCAAGGCAACTAGTGTGGGTTATTTTTGGAGGGAAGTGGGGCCGGAAGATGGGGCCAAAATGCTCTCTCTATTCCCACGGAGTTCAATTGGCGCCATTCCGCCAGAATTTCTCTCTGAGTAAGCAAAGTTTGAAGCAGATGAAATCCAGAAGGGGGCCTCTGAGGATGACTGGGAAGGGGTATGAAGTTCGGACTTAATGACCATTCACCATGTGTTTGCTGAGCACCTGTGAGGCGTCAGACACTTCTGTAACCACTGAGCAAGCAAAACACCTGCCTTCACCGCTCCCGTTCGCTTCCTCATTTCTAATGAATGTGGACTTGCTGTGCGACCACCCCGAGCTCAGTTTCCTCATCTGTGAAAAGGGTCAGTAATACCCGCCCTCATCAGGAAGGTAGCAGACCGGATGTGAAGATACGAAAAACGAAACCAAACCCACTGCCATGGAGTCGATTCTGACTCATCGCGACTCCCATCGGATTTCTGAGGTGGTAAATCTTTATGGAAGTAGATTGCCAATCTTGCTTCCGCTGAGTAGCTGGTGGGTTTGCACCACCAACCTAGTGATTAGCAGGTGTCTTAGACACTGTGCTACCACAGCTGATTAAATTGGGATAGGATGGAGTTTGCCCGGGAAGACGACAAATGTAGAAACTTCTCGCGGTTTCCGCTTTTGATTGACAACCTACTTGTTTTGGGGCGTGGCTACGCTCGGAAAGGCCGCCGTGACGTCACAAGACCCAGGAATCTCCGCGGCCGCCAGTCCCACCCTTCCCTGCCCACTCCTAGCGTCAAAGTTTCGAAACCCCGCCTCCTCCCGTGACGCCATCACGTCCGGACGGGATCGAATAAAAGGCTTTGCAGGCAACGTCGTTTTTTAGTAGCACCGTACCCAGTGTAGTTATTTGTTATGTTTTACGCTTCGGACTCCTCTGACGCTTGTCACCACAGCGCTTAGGGTGTCTCGTGACACTTTGAGTCCCCGAGCCCGACGCCTGAGGGCGAGATGAACGCGCCGGACTCCCGAGCCGCCCGGACCTGCGATCGCTTCTGGCAGCCCGAACCGGCGCTCTTATCCCCCGGGTGACGCGCAGCCTCGTTCCGGTGAGTGACAGAGGTTGGAGCGCCTGGATTCCGAAGAGGTTGGGAGTAGTTGGAGGAACCAGAGTCCTGGTCACTAACCAACGAGAGGTCTCGGGATGCTGGATTCTGAGGCAGGAGGGTTCAGGAATGGGACTCCGAGTCTCTGAAGGGAGGGCTAGACTAGGAGCCTGGGTTTAGGACGGAGAAGGTATTGGGAGCCTGGAATCTTGAATCTGAAGGAGGCAGAGTCCGGGAGCCAGACTTTTGAGAAGGGGTGTCAGAATTTCGGGGTCTGTGAGGGAGGAGGGTAATGAGTGCCTGGATATGTCAAGGTTTAGGAGGCTGAGAGAACCAGGAACTGGGACTTTTTCCTCCGGGGAAGCAAGAACAGGACCCTTACCTTTGGTTCTTGGGAACGGGAGTGGGTCTGAGGGAAGAGGGAGCTGGGGGCTGTACTCTTGGGTCTTAGGAAAGAGATTGGGACCCAGGCTCTGGGTATTGCATGATGAGGAACGAGGGATGGGCGTGGCTGACAGCAGAAAGTAATTTGAGGCTGGGAGTTTCATTGTTATTGATGGTGTTGCCATGACTCAGGGTCATGCCCTGATCCTGTCCCCTAAATGGCACCTAAGCTTTATTCTTTTTTTTCCTCTTTTTCCCAGACCAGACAGATGGCTCCAGGACAAGTGCCCCCTCTGGGTACCCCTTGGAGGGATACCCATCCCTTCTTCCTCCTGTCCCCACTGGTGGGCTTCCTCAGCCGGGCTTGGAGTCTCCTGAGGGGCCCGGGACCTATAGAGTCCTGGTTGGTGGAAACAGTAACAGGAGAAGTTGCTCTCGAGGGAGAAGAATCTCTGGACTTCCACTATGCCACCAGGGGAGGACACCCTCAAAAGGAGACTGAAGACAGTGGAGCAGCTGAGGAGGACCGAGAAGCAGTCGGGGGGCCCTGCCTTGACCTCCAAGCCAACAGGTCTTTTCTTGAGGGTTCAAATGATACTGACAAAGAGCGTGGTGAAGAAGAAGTAACTAGTGTGACTAGAGAGCAGGAAGGTGAACTCACAGAGGGACAGCCTGCTCCCCTGCCCCCACACTTTCTGATAAGAACCCTGCCAGACCCGCCTGTGGAGGAGTCTCGGGAAGAGAAGAAAGCAACTGAGGAAGGAGTTGCTGACAGGACAGAAATGACCAAGGCCTTCTCTTATCCCCCGTCACTCTGCGAGTGCTGTCCAGAGGTGGAGAAAGAGGGTGAAGGTGGAGAAGTTGGAAAGAAAGAAGCCCCCAGGACCTCTACTCCCCCCTTATCTCCAGGCTCCAAGCCCAGGGCTTGGGCGTGTTGTCCAGGGCAGGGAGAGGAGAAGAAAGATGAAGACGATGATCAAGCCACTGAAGGAGAAAGAAGAGTAGAGAAGAAAGAAGCCATGAAGATTGCCATGTCCCCCTCATGTTCAGGCTCTAGCTCCAGGACCTGGGAGTATTGTTCGGAGGAGTTTAAGGAGAAGGAAGATCAAAATACAAAGGAAGGAGCTGAGAAAGGAGACGCTGACCCAGAGCCACACTCCTCCAGTCTGGCCCAGAGCCCCTTGCTCAGGGCCTGGGAGGATCAAGCCAGTGAGAGCACAGAGGAAGAAGATGAAGAAGATGATGACAGGGCTTCAGGGGCAGCTGAGGAGGAGGGAGAAGCTGAGAGTCCCTCTTCTATCCCATCCACACGTGCCTTCCTGAGAGCCTGGGTATATCGGCCAGGAGAGGACACAGAGGAGGAGGAGGAAGATGAGGACAGTGATTCAGGAGAAGCTGAGGGTCCTTCCTCTGTCCAATTCACAAGTGCCTTCCTGAAGGCCTGGGTGTGTCATCCAGGAGAGGACACGGAGGAGGAGGAGGAAGAGGACAGCGACTCAGGGGCAGCTGAGGAGGAGGGAGCAGAGGGTCCTTCCTCTGTCCCGTCCACAAGTGCCTTCCTGA